CAGACAACCTCTCGTCAATATGCGTTTTCTGCATTGCATAGCTGCAAAAAACGCATAAAAAACGGAACAAACCAGCTGATAAGCCATGTCTGAAAACGACACGTAAAGTAGCAAAAGCTTGATAAGTTATGCAGTCTAGAAGGACAACAAAGCTTGCACCGATGTGGATTCATGTCGACGGCACCAACTGCTCAACGGCGTCTATCAGTGGTGATACATCTGAATTACTCTCAATTGTGAGCTGCTCACCTGAAATAATCTACTGCAGTGCGACTAACAAAAGAATGCACTGAAGTTCTCTGAACAGGGAAGTTAGAAAAATCCGAAAAATCTTTGACTGCCCAGAAGCAGGGACCGCCCGGCAAGTTTAATCTTTTAAAGTGGAAATTAATACTGTTCACTTTCAGCTGACTGATTATCGCTCAGGAATGAACTAGTCTGTCTATGGTTTGTAGCCTATGCTTCGCCGTAAGCTTGCTTCTTAAACAACCTTCAGAAGCAGATGGCGTCAGTAGCTTAGGCAGCGGAAATATGCTGTTAGCAAAATGCTCTCGCTACTTTCAAATGACTCCGCTTCTTAAAAACGAAGAAGAAGCGGATGAGCCTATGACTCATCATTTTGAAAAAAAGATTCATACGGAATGGATGATTTCCAATTACCAATTTTGTTCTTGTTTTTAACGAAATTTTTTCTGGAAGAAATACCATGTATAAGTTCATTGGCTTTTCTCCTATCTTGTTCGATAAAGAAAGTTGAAATTAGATACGTAAGACCACCAAAAACTAGCACAAAATCTGGCACGAATAGCGATCGCTGAAGAGAAATGAAGCGCGCCAAAGTGGTTCTTTCACGTCCTGCAATCAACCTTGAAAAGCCGAGACCACTGATAAAAATAATTCAGATATGTTGTTCAACCGTAGTTTTATCGCAAATATCCTGATACAGCCGGCAATGCTTAGCAGTAGAATGAGAGGGAACAAAAAACTACTCTGACTGAAACTAACTCGTGCCTCCTCCTCCCTTCTCTCCTCCGCCCGTCCCCGTTCCGATTCCAACAATTCCATCATTCTTATTTTTTCAGTAACCTGCAGCAAATCCTGGCACTCGTCCTCTTATTCGCTTTCCCTAATTTACTTTTTTTCTTCCACGAAAAAACTACAGCAGACTGCAATACCTTCGTTGTTTATGTAGTCCCTGAAATAGCCTATCAAAGATCCCCATCTATGTCTCCGCACAGAGGCCACATTCTTCATGAGTTATTTCTACAACTGCTTCCATAGGTACAGCTAATAAATCTATTAGGAGTGAAAAACCGTCTGAAGAAACGAACCACGCAGTGCGTCTGATATTAGCCCGATAACATAAGGCGAAGAAGCGTCTCCGAACAAGTGCGATGCCAAAGTTTGAAGAGCCGATGCTATTGCTCGTCGATGCACACTTACTGTGTACTACAACGAAAATTCAGTTCAAGAACTGTAAGAAAATATGTGGATTTTTGGGTTTTAAAATTTGGCAAGGATGAAGTGACAATTACTGAGAACAACACATCAGTGAACGAAGCCAATGCTCGTGTGAACGAGCACTGGGAAGTTTAAACAGATTCAGAACAGAACACAGTCAACCTCTACACACCCATACTCTTACACTGGCACTAC